CTTTCCGTGGCTTCTGCCTCACCTTCCCTCTTTTCCTTCTTCCCTCCTTGCAGTGGTTGCGGCCAGAGAAGTGGAGGCAATGGAGGGAATGGAGGAAACGGAAGAAACGGAGGGAATGGAGGGAACGGAAGAAACGGAGGGAATGGAGGGAACGGAGGGAAAGGCGGCAACGGCGGCGAGGAGAGCCCGGACATGGGCCAAGTGGCCCAGACCCTGCAGGACGCGGCCAAAAAGCTGGGCGACTTAGCCAAGGCCATCACGGGCGCAGACCAGGACCCCTACCTGCGCCAGCAGGTGAGTCCCCGCCCCTTTCCTCCCCTCCTCCTTTCCTTTCCCTTTCCCTCCCCCTGACCCACCTCCACTCCTTCTCTCTCTCTCTCTCTCTTTCTTCACAGGTGATCTACAAAGTCCGCGAGCTCATCTGCAACGTCTCCGCAGGTGCAGGCAACGACCTGGACCTGGCCTGCCTGCTCCGATGCCTCAACTGCTGGGGGGCTGGGTCCTCGGAGTGAAGAAGGGGGCCCCAATGGGGCTGCGCATGCGCACACGGCTCCAAAGGATCCCCTGCCCTTCCCTTCTTACCTAACGCCTCCAGTCCTAGCTCAGCATCATCCTCAGAGAAATAAAAGCCTCTGCTTTGGAATGCAAACACAGCCTCCAGGTGTTTCTTTGCACATACTGCAATAATATTTCCAGCCAAACTTGAAGGCATATCTTCTTCCCTGTCTTGTGAGTCAGGGAAGAAGAAACCACAATCACAAAAGAGTGAAATAAGAGAAAGAGGCTGGGATGCTGTGAGTTTTCCAGGCTGTCTGGTTCATGTCTGCCTTTTCAGAGTCAGAGATGAACCAAACAAAAACCCAGTTTGTATAAAACAATTTAACTAAAACAGCACTTACTTTCTGGCTCTTTTAATAGTCCAAAATATAAAACATACTGCAATAATATTTCCAGCCACATATAAGGCACATCTTAAACTTGTGAGTCAGGGAAGAAGAAACCACAAGCACAAAAGGGGGAAATAAGAGAAAGAGGCTGGGTTGCTGTGAGTTTTCCAGGCTGTCTGGTTCATCTCTGCCTTTTCAGAGTCAGAGATGAACCAAACAAAAACCCAGTTTGTATAAAACAATTTAATTAAAACAGCACTTACTTTCTGGCTCTTTTAATAGTCCAAAATATAAAACATACTGCAATAATATTTCCAGCCACATGTAAGGCACATCTTAAAACACTTAGACTTGTGAGTCTGGGAAGAAGAACCCACAATCACAAAAGAGTGAAATAAGAGAAAGAGGCTGGGTTGCTGTGAGTTTTTCAGGCTGTCTGGCCATGTTCCAGAAGCATTCTCTCCTGATGGTTCGTCTGCATCTATGGCAGACATCCTCAGAGGCTGTTGGAAACTAGGAAAATTGGGTTTATATATCTGTGGAATGATGTCCAGGGTTGGAGAAAGAAAGAACTATTGTCTGTTTGGTTCATCTCTGCCTTTACAGAGGCATAGATGAACCAAACAAAAACTGAGTTTGTATAAAACAATTTAATTAAAACAGCACTTACTTTCTGGCTCTTTTAATAGTCCAAAATATAAAATATACTGCAATAATATTTCCAGCCACATATAAGGCACATCTTAAAACACTTAGACTTGTGAGTCTGGGAAGAAGAACCCACGATCACAAAAGGGTGAAATAAGAGAAAGAGGCTGGCATGCTGTGTGTTTTCTGGCCATGTTCCAGAAGCATTCTCTCCTGATTTTTCATCTGCATCTATGGCAGGCATCCTCAGAGGTCGAGGGGTCTGTTGGAAACTAGGAAAATTGGGTTTATATATCTGTGGAATGATGTCCAGGGTAAGAAAAAGAAAGAACTATTATCTGTTTGGTTCATCTCTGCCTTTACGGAGGCAGAGATAAACCAAACAAAAACCCAGTTTGTATAAAACAATCTAATTCAAACAGCACTTACTTTCTGACTCTTTTAATAGTCCAAAATATAAAACATAAAGATAGCAATCAGCCACAGAATATAAAACAAAAATTGATAGCAAATGCTACACTGTAGTCAAAGGGTCCAGTCCAGTGGTCAAAAGCTGAGAGTTCAGTGAGCAAAGTCCAGAGATCAAAAGTCTATACCGTAGTCAAAAGCCAGTTCAAAGATTCAAGGTTCCAGGGTTTCAAGGGTTTAGGAGACAGGTCAGCACACCGAAAATCCAGAAACATGGGGGGAAACCAGCAGCATCTACCACCAAAATAAGACAAATACTTTTCTCCCTACATGAGGGAGAACTTCCTGACTGTGAGAGCCGTTCAGCAGTGGAACTCTCTGCCCTGGAGTGTGGTGGAGGCTCCTTCTTTGGAAGCTTTTAAACAGAGGCTAGATGGCCATCTGTTGTGGGTGCTTTGAATGCAATATTCCTGCTTCTTGGCAGGGGGTTGGACTGGATGGCTCATGAGGTCTCTTCCAACTCTATGATTCTAATGCTATCTCCTTATATCCAAAAACACCCAGCTGCAACCCATCTCTTGCATACTTCCACCCTTAACTGCTTTCACCCATGAACTCTTACTTACAGATTACTCAGCCCTTTAGAACTAAGACTTACATTAACCCTTCCATCACCAACCACCATTAACTGTAGAACATGACACATGACAATGTGAATGTAGCAGTTTTCAAGGTTTGGCTGCTTCCTGCCTGGGGGAATCCTTTGTTGAGAGGTGATTAGCTGGTGCTGAACACAGAAATGCTAGACAACTCTAAGAACTACCATGCCAGATTAGACAGAGTAAGGAAGAAACGATGAAAATGAACAAAATCTGGCTACCAGCATTAAAATAACTCTAAAATCAATGGTTTTCAAACTGGGAACAGGTTTACTTCATCACCTCCCTCATTAATGGAAAAATAGGTGCATGATACTGGTAGTCATTACAACATCAGATCAATGCTGGCATAGCAGTTGCCTTAAAACACACAGCAAAGAAGCTTAGGGACAAGAGCAAGGTAGAAATGCCGGTGTTGCACTCCAGGACAGGAAAAGCCCCCTGACTTTAAACATCACATGTTGAATAGGAAATACAATCCTTTTATTGAAGATAATGAAAAAGCCATGGGATTTATATATAGCACAATCCAGGGCAAGATGGATGGATGGCATCCTTGAAGTGACTGGACTGACCTTGAGGGAGCTGGGGGTGGTAACGGCTGACAGGGAGCTCTGGCGTGGGCTGGTCCATGAGGTCACGAAGAGTCGGAGACGACTGAACGAATGAACAACAACAACAATCACAGAAATACAATACAACACAAAATCTACCCTAATAGAAGTCTGGAAGGAGGAATTAAGTTGCAGTGAGAGAGAAATAGACAATTGGATGAATTCAATCAATAAAATAAAACACCTAAAGATTAAAGAAATGCAACGAAAAATACTGACAAAATGGTACAGAACTCCTGTGCAACTGGCGCATATCACAAAAACGTGCCCAAAACTATGTTGGCACAACTGTGGTAAAATAGGAACATATGCCCACACGTGGTGGGAATATGAAAAAATCCAAAAGTTCCAAGAAATAATCAGGAAAGAAATGGAGGAACTATTAGGGATCAAGATAGAATGGAATAAGGCCCAATTTTTCACTCAGAAATTCGAAAGTAAAGAGGAATATAAGGAAAGTGAGGAAATAATAAAACACATGATGGAGGCAATCAAAGCCTCAGTGGCCCTAGGCTGGAAGGACCACAAGAAATGGGATATAAAAACTTGGTATAAATATCTAGCCAATTACCTTCTCCAAGATTATATTAGCGAAAGGAAAAGTTACTATACGACGGGTCAAAGCAGAAGGACATGGGAAGCAAAATGGAAGGGTCTCATATACAGAATAAAGGAGAAAGATAAATATACGATGTTAAATAAGATTATTATATTGATTGAACAATTGTAATAAACACAGCAAAAGTACTTTATTTGTTCCGGGGGGGGGGGGTGTGCTGGTGGCGGGATTGGGGAAAAAACTGGTATTTTGAATGTTATTTTCAAAGATGGTATGTTTCTATGTATTATACAATAATAATAATAAAATTAAAAAAAAATAAAAAAAACTTGGGACCTGCTGTTTCTACAGTAAGAGGTGCTCAACTACAGGTGTGCTCCAGGCCTGCCTGCCTGCCTGCACGCTCTGCCATGCATGCCCCGCCACACTCTCAGAGAGTGCATGTATACCAGGGTGTGCAGGCAGGCCCGAAGTGTGTCTGCAGCCGAGCTGCAGGCCTGCCTTCCTGTATGTCCTGCCACACATTCACTCTCTTTTCAAGGCAAGTTTGAATTATTATTTGAGAACACAGAAATGCTGGACCACTCTAACAACTACCATGTCAGGCTACACAGAGAAGCCATTGAAATCCACAAGCATGTGGACAGTTTCAACAGAAAGGAAGAAACCATGAAAAATGAACAAAATTTGGCTACCAGTATTTAAAAAACTCTAAAATTATAACAGTAAATAAAGAACTAGACTCAAACACAGGGGAACTCCAGACAAGAAACAATCAGGAACAACTAATCACCTCTCAACAAAAGATTCTGCCAGGCAGTAACAAGCCACACCTAAAAACTGTCAGCCATCAAATGCTAATCAAGATGGCCAATTGCAACATTCACACTTGCCTCCAGAGTTCTTTCTCCCGCCCTGGACAGATATATAACCCAATTTTCCTAGTTTCCAACAGACCTTACAACTTCTGAGGATGCCTGCCACAGATGCAGGTGAAACGTCAGGGGAGAGTGCTTCTAGAACATGGCCATACAGCCCAAAAAACCTACAACAACCCAAGTTGGAATGTGCACGAAAGCAGGCTTGTGAGGAGACTGGGTCAGAGAGCAGGGCCACCCCAGCTGATCTTAAAGCTCTTGTAGGCTCATAGAAGGAGATACATTTAGACCGGTAGGTTGGATCAGACCCATCTAATAACAGTCTTTCCATTTGTGTAATTTTGCAGACTAGTTTTTAAAGGCATGGGGATTTCTCGCCCAGACGCTAACATCGGAAAATGTCGAATGATTCGCCATTCAAGAGATCAGAAAAATGAACCTAACCCACAGAGGTACGTCATTTTCACCACATTCTGTGTATTTCCATTTTCATATCTTCCTGAAGCATCAGTACAGGCCTCCAGCCCTTTGTGTTAAATCCAAGCCTTGGTTAGAACACATCTTAATTTTATTTTTGGGAAAACAGTTCACTAAATTTCACTTGGAAGAGGGCAAAGAATTTGGAGACAAGCTGATACTTCATCTCAAATGCTCTTTTCTTATCTTTACAGATTTAACAAAATTGCTCACACAAAGGAGACAATGATGTCCGATGGACTGAATACTCTGACCTACACCGTAGAAAAAACTGAGAGATTTCCATTGTATACATACATCACAGTGGATATTGGATCACCAAAAAGCTAATGTGACAGAGACACAGGAGAGTCGGAGAGTTGACGTGCCCGGGGACTGCTCGTTCCATCAATATGTTATATTTGCTATTTTTTATTACAATCAACATGAACATGGATGCCTTGATTTGCCGTATTGAGGCCTTTCACCTTGCTGAACTGAAAAGAATTTTAATCCCAGACTTTGCTGCAGAAATCTTTCTCCTTTTCTTTCTGTTTTAGAAACTATGCATAAAACTTTGTAAAGATGTCAGTTTTCAGAGAATTTTCAGGTGGAAACACATGCTTGATGTGCTGGAAAATCTTCCTCTGCAAGCTCACTGGAAAAGAAAGAAAACTATAAACAAGCACTGTTGTGCTTCTGTGTGGTTTCCACTCAACTCATTGGAGGGTAACATTATAGATTTCCGGTGGATTGGGCTCTGTATGTTCACTACAGTGCTATCCATGTGAAATAATACTTGCACACAATTCGGGAAACAGTACTGCCTTCATAAATTATGATGCATTTAACAGTTACATCAGCTTCTCCATCTCCCCCAGTTTAATTTTGAAATTAAGTAACATTTATTGAATTCACTGCTGTGGTTACAGTATGAAGGACTGGAAAATGCTGCTAAAGTTGTATGAGTTTACAAGATTGGCTAAATCACCCTTTTCTCAAAGACTGAATCATTTCAGTCAATTTCTTTCCTTTCTTCCTTCCAAGCACATGCAAGTCTAAAGGAAGAGATGGCCATACATTCTGTTTCTTTAGCTGAGGAGATGTTGACAAATGTGGACTGTTTGCTGAAGAATAGCTCCAGTTCCCACTTGTGGGAGTCACCCTTGCACACAGAGCAGGATTTAAGGTTCTCAACCTTTCGTCCTCTGAATGTTTTGGACTTCAGCTCCCACAATTCCTCATTAGCTGGTAAGATAGCTGGGATTTCTGGGAGATGAAGTCCAAAACAACTGGAGGACCAAAGGTTGGGAACCACTGATTAAAGTAAGGGCAAGCACAACCAATTAGTATTGTCGAAGGCTTTCGTGGTTGTTGTAGGTCAGTGGTTCTCAACCTGTGGGTCCCCAGATGTTTTGGCCTTCAACTCCCAGAAATCCTAACAGCTGGAAAACTGGCTGGGATTTCAGGGGGTTGTAGGCCAAAACACCTGGGGACCCACAGGTTGAGAAGCACTGTTGTAGGTTTTTCAGGCTGTATGGCCAAGTTCTTCTAGAACAAAGGTCCTCAAACTTTTAAAAAAGAGGGCCAGATCTCAGTCCTTCAAACTGTTGGAGGGCCGGGTTATAATTTGAAAAAAAATGAATAAATTCCTATAAATACTGCACATATATTATTTGTAATGCAAAAAAACCCACTTAAAACAATACAATAATTAAAATTAAGAACTATTTTAACAAATATAAACATTAGTATTTCAATGGAAAGTGTGGGCCTGCTTTTGGCTGATGAGATAGGATTGCTGTTGTTGTTGTGTGCTTTCAAGTAGTTTCAGACTTAGGTTGACCCCCTGAGCGAGGGCCAGGTAAATGACCTTGGAGGGCCGTATCTGGCCCATAGGTCATAGTTTGAGGACCCCTGTTCTAGAACATGGCCATACAGCTTGAAAAACCTACAACAGCCCAACCAACAAGTAGCTTAAGAATCTCAGGGGCATCAACTAAACATACCAGAGACTATATAAGAAGCACCTTATTAAACAGAGAGTAGGCGTTCACCACTGCCATCCCCGCCCCTAGTTTCCTTACCAGACAGCCTGAACCCAAAATACTACTGCAAATAGTGTAACCATATGTGCATTATGAGTTGAGCAAGTACACTCTCCCTCCACCAATTTGCTGTTGATCCCCCTAGCTATGTTCAGTTCATGACTACACCTAAAACTAATAGAAGTCAATAACTATAATTGTTTTTTGACATTTGCACAAATCCTGCTCCTGGATCAGAGGTGTCACTACGGTTAGTGTCATCAGATGCAGTAACTTATGATGTCATCCTCATGGATACCTTACCAGACCAAATCACAGTATTGTAACTAAAATACCAGAATCTTCAAGTGTCTGTGCTAGTGCTCCTGGTACATCCTGAGATTATGCATACGTATGCATTCATGCAAGAAGCATTGGGAGGGCAGGGGTATTACTAAATATTACTTGACTGCTTTCCCTCAGTTCCTCTGAAGAAGTCACCTGGTGTGACCCGCACCCCCTGATGATGCCATTGTCCTGGATTGCCTTCTGTGAATAGAGAATTTAATTTTGCTTTTTAATGTTTCTACCAAGAAATGGCAACTATTTTGAAATTCTGGGCTCTTAAAGTGGCCTCTTCATTTTAAAAAAAAGGTCTTGTCAGATGTTTACTATCTTAAAGGTCTAGATAATGTATAAATGTCAAACAGATTTTCTTTCTTGCAGTCTTGTGTGTAAAACTTGAAGTGCTGCTGTTAAATTTTATCATTGCAAACATGTTAACAACATGCCCTTTAGTGAAGTTATGGAGATCTTAATTGCACCATAAAGCAGCATATGAATGCCACCAAAGTAAACTGTAGGCAGAGTCATGTTTGACTTGGACTTGATTGTATACTCACCTTGTGCACTTGTCTGTTCAGTCTTTCGATGGGCTGATACTTAAATGGTGGCCAAGGTGTGCCTTTTAAAAATATGTATATCTTCTGTGTCTTTCAGGAATAAGATTATTTTTGTAAACTTTTAATGTATTTGAGCCTATGGATCTGTTTGGATGTCAGCGTTTCTCTTCCCACAACTTCCTAGTGTGTCTGCGGGTGGAGGGTTCAGCTAGATTTATCTAGTTGAAATCCTCATCTTCAAACCTCGAAATCTTTTTTCCCCTTGCAATTTTGTTCACATTTATTCTTAAATATCTATTTATATTTCACTTTGAATATGGGCTTGCAAAACTATTTGGCCACTTAGACTTTTCCATTCATGCAGCAACATGGCCACTTTTGTGTGTGTGTGTGTGTGTGTGTGTGTGTGTGTGTGTGTGTGTGTGTGTGTGTCAAGAGCAACTTGAGGAACTGGACGTCTCTTCTGGCGTGAGAGAATTGGCTGTCTGCAAGGACGTTGCCCAGGGGATGCCCAGATACTTTGATGTTTTACCATCCTTGTGGGAGGCTTCTCTCATGTCCCCACATGAGGAGATGGAGCTGACAGAGGGAGCTCATCCGCACTCTCCACAGATTCGAACCTATAACCTGTCGGTCTTCAGTCCTCCTGGCACAAGGGTTTAACCCACTGTGCCACCGGGGGCTCCTGAGAAGCTACTTTCTGTTCATCTGCACAAATTGAAAGAGAAGACTCTATGATGTTGGAGCTGTAATGGGGGGAAGCATAGTTATCAAATTTTGTTCTGTGCAGATCTTAGAAAAGTTACTTTGAGGACCACAGTTCCAAGAAACCCTTCCAAGCAGTAGAGCAGAAAGAAACTGCTCCCTCCAGCCATCTTCCACTCATCTATTTGCTTTCAAGGCCAAAACAGCTGGGGACCCACAGATTGAGAACCACTGCTATTTAAAAAGACATCTTTGGAGTAGAAAAAGTGCTGCAAAACCTTTGGGCCTACCTTCACAGACAAAACACCACCCATGCACCCATATTGTCTTCTGTCCTGGCACACAATGTTTGTAACCATTTGCTTCCCAGCCAGTTCTTTGGTTTTTAACCCACTTTAAAAAGAATTATCTTTTATTCTGGCCAAAGATCTTAATTAGTCCCCAGATTTTGTCATCCCCAGTAAATGGCTTTGCATTGGGCATGAAGGGTGGTTACTGGTGGCTAAGCTGGTTGGTGGAAAATGACAAGGGTTAGTATTTTGAATATGCCACTTAGGCAGAAATGTGTATATTCACATTCATGACGGGAAGAAAAAAAAGCAGGATGGTCTCTACTCTGGCTGCCATTAGTGAAAATTTAGCAAACAAGCTCTCGTTGAGGTGGGTTTGCCCAGAGGACAAGTGCGGCCACTTAAGATGAATTTGCCACGATGTGCAGACTGTATATGGAGCTAATAAGGCAAACACGGGATCTATACAGATCTGGAAAATATGTGAACATGTTTTTCCTCCTCAAGGCGAGAATCTCCCATGAGGCATGTCACATTTGAGAAAGTGAAACTGGTTCTTGGCTCACAGCATCTGTCTCTCATTTCTCATTCCCAATTCCTCAAGGAAGAGAAGCAAATCCTATTTATTCAAGTGCAGGATTCACCTGCCTAGTTTGTGTGTGTTAGTTAGGCGATCCCTCATTGTCCAAGTAGGATTGTCTTCCAAGATTGGTGTACTGGTGGTGGGTATGTAGGTGACTGTGGAGCCTATTCTTGATCTGCATCTTCTCCTGCAGTGAGGGCATTGGCTTCCAGGTGGAAGGCGGTCCCGGTTGGGGTTGGCTTGACACGGCTTCCTCTTGGCACATTTCTCTCTTTTGCCCTCCATTCGTGCCTCTTTAAATTCTGGTCATAGCTGACCTCCACCCGGAGCACCCAATGAGCTCTCTCTCTCTGTATGTGTATGTGTATGTATGTATGTATGTATATATATGTGTGTTTGCCAGAGGACAAGTGCGACCACTTAAGGTGTGTGTGTGTGTGTGTGTGTGTGTGTGTATATATATATGAGAAAGCGAAACTGGTTCTTGACTCGCAACATCTGCCTCTCATTTCTCATTCCCTATTCCTCAAGGAAGAGAAGCAAATCCTATCTATCTGAGAGCAGGATTCACCTGCCGTGTGTGTCTGTAGGCAGTTCAACTTCCAGACACCTGCAAGAGCAAGTAGCAACAGTAGTTGATTGATTCTTCAAGCTGTTTCCCACCAAAAGTAACTTTTCTGAACTCTGTCTCAACACGTCGGGAATAAATTAATATCACCATTAATCTCCTTGCAACAAGAGCATTTAAAAAAAGAATAGTATTTTTATTCTGGAGCGAATACTTTGTGACTAGCCCTTGCATATCCTAAACCGAAGAGATTCTGGCTTGTACGAATTGTTCTGACTGAAAGGAAGCCATACAAAGAACTGTGTCACGTTTCCATTTGTCTGCTTGTTATTTCTTTTTGGAGTGTTTGTGTGCTTTGTTGATAGTCTCTCTTTTATGCATATACAGTTTATTGCTTTTATTTATTTAAACATACTGAGCCAAAAGCTTCGCTTTTTAGTTCTGGGCAGGGAAATCAGCATCTGAGGCCCATTTCCTCCCTGAACTGAGCCTGGAATGTGCCTTGACCCCGAGAGGCCATTGACTTGTTTTTAAAAACTCCACATTCGGCAGATTGCGGAAGAAAGGGCTCCCTTAGCATTGCTTAGTAGGGAGAAATGTTGACATGGCGTTTGTTTCAGGCTCTCCTGTGCATACTCCCACCAGCATTTGGAAGAAATCCAGACTCTGCCATTTGTATTTTGAATGTAATAACCCTTAGACCTCCATACCCTTGCCCTACTCCGTGCCATTTTCTGGGCTTGCAAGTTATGGAAGTAGAAAATACCATGTTCAATGGTATGCACTACAGTCTGCATCAGGCACATCCTTTCCTCCCAATGTGAAAATTGGTCAGCTATGTAGCCAAGACTGTTATCAGGTTGAAAGGAGACTCAGCTTCATAAAAAGTTGGTAAGTCGGTTTTTGAGAGCCTTCTGTGTTCATCTTGGCCATGCAGGGTGACTGGCTCTTCATTCACATTACTATTGTCATGGATCTTTCAAAAACAAGGAACCACCCATTGCTCATTTTTGGTTGAAAAGTCAGTCTTTCTCGACCTGAGAGATCTTCTGGAGTCCCCATCTTATGGAAACTTTTGCATATATATTACCTGTGCTTACTTCAAAGGCATATATGCAGAGCAAAATACATGCCAAAGTCCTGTGACATTCAGAGAACTTAAGGTCATGTTTGTATTTTGGGTTGCTGTGAGTTTTCTGGGCTGTATGACCATATTCCAGAAGCATTCTTGCCTGACGTTTCACCCACATCTATGGTAGGCATCCTCAGAGGTTGTGAGGGTATTTGGAAACTAGGCAAGTGGGATTTATATATCCATTGAATGTCCAGCGTGGGAGAAAGAACCTCGATTAGCATTGCAAAGCCTTGCAGCGTCAAAGCCTGGCTGATTCCTGCTTGGGGGATCCTTTGTTGGGAGGTGTTAGCGGGCCCTGATTGTTTCATGTCTGGAATTTCCTAGTTTTCAGAGTGTTGTTCTTTATTTGCTGTCCTAATTTTAGTTTTTTAAATACTGGTAGCTAGATTTCGTTTGTGTTTTTCTTAAAATAAGAAGATATCAAAATTTTAAGGGGAGACTCTTGACACCCTATGGTGGAAGTGTGGCAATTCTTTAGCCACATTATCCCCTCATTTCAAACAAGTTTTCAGGATGAGGGGCTATATTCTCTTCTAAACCCAACAAACGCTTTATCAGAGGGATAAGATGACCATCTGCATGGTGAGGAATTACTCAACTTCGAAACTGCCTTTCAGGGTAGATGGAGGAACTACTATCTGCCCATAGCCTCGTGGACTTTTAAGAAACAGGCATTTAAAATCCTGTTTTTGCCAACCTAGCAGTTCGAAAACATGCAAATGTGAGTAGGTCAATACGTAGGTAACATCTCTATGCAGTCATGCTGGCCACATGACCTAGGAGGTGTCTGCGGACAATGCTGGCTCTGCAGCTTAGAAATGGAGATGCGCATCACCCGCCAGAGTCGGACTCTATTTAATGTCAGTTTACCTTTACTAACATGAGTCCTCCCCAGTTATGAAACCTTGTTCAGTCTGAGTCTAGTGTGAGCTGCGCTTTGAACAGTACTATATTCTTTTTAGCCTGCCATTACCCATTCTGTGCAAGCAATTGTTTAACTTATGCATACATAGCTTTACTGTGTGTGTAAAGGAGTGTGTGTGTATATATATGTATGTATGTGAAGATCAGGAAAAGTGACCATAGAAACCATATTTAATTATCTGGGAACAGATTGTAGCTCGGCTTCAAAGTTTTTGACTAAAGTGCCTTAAAATATGGTCAAGGAAGAGAAAGGGGAAACGGATGAGAAACGGTCTGCATTAGCTGAGTCCTTCCCTTGTTGCTGTATGGTGATTTTTGTCACAACATTAAAGACTTTAAAAATAAAGTTGACGTTTTTGAGAATATAAAATGTTTTTGCTTACATATTAATCTCCTGATTCTTGCCTTCTCCTTCACAACCCAGGTTTGGTTTCCCCACAGAGAATGTACTTTTATTTACGTTTATAATACTGTGACATTTTGCTTTCCTGCCCCAAGCATTGTCACGCAGCAGTGAATGTTACTGAAAATGGTATGTCCCATTTCTGGACTGACACTTGTATTCAAATTTAGATTTCCTGAACTTGTATTTTAGCAGCATGAAAGCAATTACACAATTCCTTCTTCCTGCACTGCTTAGTAATGGAAGATAAGGGCCTGAACCCTATTGTTACTTTTTAAAAAGATGACATTTTAAATACATACTAAAAAAACCTATACTAAAATAATGACTTATTTAAGAGATAAAGGGAAACAAAATTTCATTATAAATGTCAGTTCCTAATTGGTTCTATCATAAAAATCACCAATAATGAAATAATAATTAAATTTTGAAAGTTTTGTCAAAGTTCTGAAATTTTCACCACCAGAACTTTAGTTTTGTAAGTATTTTAGAACCATTTTGAACCGTGGATTGGCCA